GCTTTTTTGTCTCCATGGAGATGTTCACGTTTTGGTTTAAAGGTCCACAGTCTGTCTTGCGTTTATTCAACTATTGGTATTATTTATTGCTCAAAATATCTTTAAAAACATTCTTACAGTGAGTGGCGTCGCCTCTCCACAAATCTAACCTGTAATTTGTCTTGCGTGCCTCCGTGGAGATATGGGGCATTGTGGAACTTTTCTGGTGGAGGGTCTGTCAAATGCTTTCTGTCATGGAGATGTTATTGCTTTGTCTGGATTGTTTAACATCCATCCATTTTCTTCTGCTTATTCGGGGCTGGGTCACGGTGGCAGCAGTCTAAGCATTTTAAAATTCTTTTGTTGGTTTATAAAGCTCTTAATGGTCTTAGTCTATTTATTTATCTGATCTGCTTTTATCATATGAGCCTCTCGGACTCTCAGGTCCTCAGGTGGTCGTCTTCTAACTGTCCCAAGAGTCCAAACTAAAACTCACGGTGAGGCGTCATTCAGCTTTTACGGCCCCCGTCTGTGGAATAGTCGACCTGAGGATCTGAGGTTCACTGCGAGTGTTCATATTTTTAAAAGTAAACTCAAAACTTATCTTTTTAATTTAGCTTTTAACTGAAACTTTTACCTATTTTAACTTAAATTATTATTATTATGTTATTATTATATTTATTTTTAAATTTGAATTACCATTACTATTTTACTTAGTGTGTATCTCATTTTAGCTCTCCATTTTTATTTTTATTATAACCTTTAGGAGCTTTATGTTTATGTTTTATGTTTCTGTTTAAATTGTTGTATATAAGGATGAAACAGTAGGGTGGGGGGGTTGCTGTTGTTTTTAATTATTGTATTGTAATTTTTCTTGCATGTGAAACACTTTGTGCCACATTTCAAATGTATGAAAAGTGCTATACAAATACAGTTTGATTGACTGAAGCAGGGACTCCCAAACTTCCCTCACCCCGGACACTTCTTCCAGCTCATCCAGGCCAGCCCAGAGATATAGGCTACATTTTTTGTGAAATCCGATGTTTTGCGAGGTTGTTCACATTTCCAATTAAATGCGACTTGTATGTGATCTCCAGTGTGAACAGTAAACGGCACAAAGGTGTCCCGCATGTGCACTGGAGACACGACGACGTCAACTGCAGTGAGCGTGCTCAGTGTTTACGGAAGTTGTCCAAACATGGATGCGAGCATTGAGCACCTGGAGATTTTAAAGTTCCTCTCGTACAGGAGCCAGAACATGAACAATTTACTTGTTTTAAGGAGGAGATTGAGAAGGAGAAGGACGAGGTTTTTGGCTGTGGCGTTTTGTGGGACAGTCCATTGAAAGGAACGTGTGGATGCGCAGACGTAGCCAAGAGTGGTGAGTGGTGATGTGCTTCGCTTCAGTGACACGGAGTTAATTTACAATTTTTGGCTACTTCAGCGCAGAATAGTGACGTTTGTGGCTTGTTGATAACGTGTAGGTCGGATGAATGTGCTTTGGCCGTTCAGACTGAAGTCGCATGTCAAAAGATCGGATATGTATCGGTTTCAGGACTACATATCCAAGTGGCCTGGGTCACATTTGAAAAAATCAGATCTGTGTCGTTCAGACTGTCATTAAAAGATCAGATACAGGTCACATAGAAGCCAAAAAATCAGATTTGAGTCACTTCAGGCTGCAGTGTGAACATAGCCTAAGGGAGCACCCAGCCACCCTGCGGAGGAAACTCATCTCGACCGCTTGTATCCACTGTCTTGTTCTTTTGGTGATTACCCAAAGCTCATGACCGGTCAGAATGTTTCACAGTATGACATTAAACCTTTCTATCATCATGGAGACCAAGCCAAACCAAGCTAAAGTTTCGACCCCGCTCACAGTCAGAATGCCTCTTTTTCTAAATATTTTGGAGTTATAAAACCATCTGTAACTGAATAAATAATTGTGTATATAAATGTGAGAATAAATGTGTGAATAAAACATTGTGGAACATTTTAAGCAGAGCAATGACATCTCCACAGTAACAAGCAGGTGATGGACAAAAGTTTCAAAGTCCATGCGTTCTTCGAAATAACTGATCTAACTGCGACCAGGAACATAAAACTCATTTGATCCAGGAGCTACGTGCCGGTCGTGAGCTGGCTCCTACACAAACAAACCATAAACCTGGAGACTTATTACCATTAATATAATTAGATCAAGGTTATATAACAGCAAGTCCACAGCATAATATGGGCCCTTTAAAATCAGTCAACATTTATTCTTCTTATTAAAAATTCCCCTGTACAGATTTGTGCTTTTAAAGTGAGTCCACTGTGTAAAATATAAACCAATTATGCATTTTATGGGGACCACATTCAGTACTGTGTGTAATTCTTACCAGAGGTGGGACCAATTCATTGTTTTGCAAGTCCCAAGTAAGTCTCAAGTTTTTGACCTCAAGTCCGAGTCAAGTCCCAGGCAGTGTTGGGGAGTAACAGATTACATGTACTGGAGTTATGTAATCAGAGTACAATTTATGAGTAACTGTATTCAGTTACAGTTACTGTTTCAGTGAGTGGTAACTGGATTACAGTTACTTTGTTAAAATAAATGGATTACATGGTGGTATTTTCCTGTTTTCACATTTTGGGCTATATCTAATTTTTTTTGTTTTATTTCGATAATTCCGCTCATTGTCAGAAACAGAATGTGGCAGTAAGAGCCACATAAACATCTTGTTAACGTTGGTGGCGTCAGTCACACAATGGACGAGGTCGTTAGTAATTGTTATTGTTAAGAATCTGATTCTGCATCATTTTGAATAAAAAACATCAAATATTACAGATTTTTACTGGGCTGGCGCCTTTCTGTTTGTACTGAAAGTGATTTTATTATTTTTTTTAATAAACATTATGACACCTAACATTAGGGTGGACATAATTGAAGGCAGCAGTGATTTCATATAAAAAGCACTTCTCTATCAATATTTTTAATATGGTTAAGGAAAGACTGGACATTTTATTTTCTTTTAGCAGATAAAACAACTTATGTTCAGATATCCTAGTCTTTGCTTCTCTACAGCAAAAAATTACCTGTTCATTGAGACTTGGGCTCAACAGACAATTTGAAAAGAACAAACAAGAATTTTCAGGATATGGTTGGTACATTCATGTAGTTTTAAAAACCATGACAATATCAAGTAATCCAAAGTATTCAGATTACATTACTCACTTTAAGTAATTTAATGGATTACGTTACAAACTACATTTTGGGGTATGTAATCTGTAATTTGTAGGGGAATACATTTTAAAAGTAACCTTCCCAACACTGGTCCCAAGTCAAAGACAGGCAAGTTCAAGTTGAGTCCCGAGTCACTGGCCCATAAATCCGGCAGAGTCCTGCACCAGGTATCGGATATCGGGTATCCGCGGGCCCAAATAGTTGCTGAAACAAGCTGATTTTAACGTTCTGGAATTTTACGGGCGGGTAGTGATTACACATGGGCGGGTCAGGACTAACCAGGACTAAACCATGTCTAAACCACAACTAAAACAGGACTAAACCAGTTCTAAACCAGGTCTAAACCAAGGCTAAACCACGACTAAACCAGGCCAAAAACAGGTCTAAACCAGGTCTAACTCAGGAATAAACTAGATCTAAACCAGGTCTAAATCAGATATAAACCAGGTATAAACCAGGGCTAAACCAGAACTAAACCACGTCTAAACCAGGTCTAAACCAGGACTAAACCAGATATAAACCAGGTCTAAACCAGGTATAAACCAGGACTAAACCAGGACTAAACCAGGACTAAACCAGGTCTAAACCAGGTCTAAACCAGATATAAACCAGGTCTAAACCAGGACTAAACCAGTTCTAACCCAGGACTAAACCATTTCTAACCCAGGACTAAACCAGTTCTAACCCAGGACTAAACCAGGACTAAACCAGTTCTAACCCAGGACTAAACCAGGAGTAAACCAGGACTAAACCAGGTCTAAACCAGGTCTAAAAGAGGACTAATCTCAGACTCTGCGCCGGTCCTTTTGCGCATGGTCACCCAGCGGTCTACACCGGCGCACCTCTGGGCTCATTCCAACAGTCAGGTCTAGTTTAATCCTGTTTTAGTCCTAGTTTAGTTCTGGTTTAGTCCTGGGTTAGTCCTGCTTCAGTCCGTGGCGTGTGCGGCACAAAAGTCTGGCATCTTGATCAATGATGTATTTTTACAGTCGAGTCGTGTCTGTGAATTCGTATTTGCACTGAAGAAAGCGTAACCACTTCATTTCGTGAATATAATTCTTGAAATCTTAACTTTTCAATTCGTATTCTGATAGATGCTTTTAGTTTGTGTGTGATTTATCAGGAGCACAGACGGGTAACAGGTGGAATGTTAACGGGTCCGGGCGAGTGCAGGTATAACTTTGATAAAATCACAGGTTAATAGGCAGGTGTGGTGCTGAACAGCACAGGTGGAGGTTTGGGTTTCCAAAAATGGACCCGTGCAGGACCCCGCAATACATATGTTGATACAGTGAGCTTTCTATTTGATACGATTCAGTACGATATATTTCAAATTGATTTGATACGGTTCAATAAAAAATAAAGTCTAAATAATAGCTGTGATTAGGGCTGGGTATCATTAAGAAGTTGCCGATATGACACATACCTATATACAGTGCACTTTCAATTCGATACGATATATTTTAAATCGATTCGATACAGTTAATTAAAAATGCAGTCTAAATCATGGCTGTGATACTAAAAGTCTTTGTTAAACCACTTCTTGTGCAAAGTTCATATGAAATGCAAGCATTTTAATCATCAAAACACTAAACAAGCAACAAAACTGTAGCTCTGTAACAAAATAATTTAGTAAAATATACCAAAAAATACTCTTGGCAAGCAGCCCACAATATCGATACTGTATCATCACATTAAACAATACGATATATCGATATTTCAGTACAAGTTACACAGTGTGCCTTTAACTGTTTATATCACTGCTTTTGAACAGATAATACACGCTGGTCTTTCTCACCTCTTTCTTCTTGAGGATGACTTTCTTCTGCAGAACTTTGACGGCGTAAAACTTGCTGTCATCCTTGTGTTTGGCGAGCAGCACCTGCATGAGAGCCCTGTGTGTTTACTCAGGTCATATTGTGTAAACAGAGAGACAGTGGCACCACGTCAACACAGCGCTGATACAGACTTTAACATCTACAGCGATAAGAGATTTCAAGACACAAGCATTTGACATACACAAAGAGCAGAAATACACAGATGGTTTTAGATGATAGAACAATAAAAATTATCTTTATGTAGATTTTTCCTGTATTAGTTTTTTTTCCTATTATGTTTAAATTTGCCTGTATATTGAACATCATGAGCTACCGTATTTGTCAGACTATAAGACACACTTAAAATCCTTTAATTTTCTCAAAAATTGACAGTGTGCTTTATAATCCAGTGCGCCTTATGTAATAAATCTGGTTGTGCTTACTGATGTTGAACCGATTTTCTGTGGTACACGGCGCTCAAAATTCTGTCAAAATATTTTAGTATGACTTTGGTAAACTATAAAACCGCACCGAATGATGGATTGTCGGAGCATTACGGCTACTGTAGTCAGGTAGTCAGGCTGGTGCCACCTAGTGCCTCTACTCAATTTCATTTCTCTCCAGCAACTAGGTCAGGAATCAAAATACAACAGACAGTTTGTAAAAACCCTGGAAGTTGGCACCAGCCAATCAGTGAAGAGCCATATATTCTGTGTTGTCAACGATTCCTGAGATCGAGGATTTAAAGCCGGAACAAAGAAAAAGTTTGGTAAATTTCATCAAGGGAAAGATGTTACTGCCCTTCTTCCTACGGGATTTGGGAAAAGTTGAATATACCAGTTATCCCCGATAGGGGCGCATTACATACGTCACGACCAAATAGCAGCGTTTGGTTAAATGATAAAAAGTACCCGCCTACCGTCAAGCGAACGAATTCTAACACGGCGAGGTCAGACGGTTTCTATGAAGTGAAACCGGCTGATGAATCAGGCTAATAGTCAGGAGCCTCACGGAGTAAAGGGCGAAGTATAGTTCTACATCGACTCAGTGTACACTGTTGCCATCGCCTTGTCGCTTTTGTCACAGAAAGAACACACATATTCCACTGAGTTGTGTCCTTTAATCCGTTAGAAGCTGAACCGCATCAGCACACAAGGAGCGAGCTGTTTTTTTCAGAACTTACAATTTATGCAAATGAGTTATGTGGTTTTAAGTTTAATTTCTGTAAAACATAATCAAATGTGCACAAAGCTGCATTAAACACATTATTACTCAATGTATGTGTGATGGAAATTTATATTGTGGAAAGACTTCTCTCAAACTGTCTTTGTGTAAATGAATGTGATCACATGTCATTAACATGTGTAAAGGCTCAGCAGACAAACTGTCTCCTCTTTCAGGAAGTCCTTTGTTGACTTGCCTGTCCTCAACTGTATGTTAATTTAGCACCAGCCTCTGAAACAAAAGCCACTCTGCTTTGGTATGTATGTAACTTGTATTTCTGTATAAATACTGAGAGCTCAGATGCTCTTGGGGAGATACTTGGGGAAATGGGGCAAGATGTGCTAGGGACATACTGCTGGTTAAGAGAGTAAACCTTTGTCTATATTCCAAAAATTCACCAGGCTTCGCAAATGGATTCATTATTTAGCTTTAAGGGATCTATATTTTTTTCTACAACGTATATCTGAGTCCAGATCGTAGGAAATTAAAAAAGTTAACTTAAATTATCCACCCACATTTATAATCCACATTCACCAAAACAGGGAGGCAACGTTGGGCGAATTACACCACAATCTGCTGATGGACTGTGGACGCCTGGACTAAGGATCAGTCTCAAGTGTGGGTGTAACGATATCCAAGTCTCACAATACGATATCATCACGGTATGAACCTCACGGTACGATATTTATTGTGATATTTTGTGTACAAAACTGTTAATATGATACTTTTTCCATTTAAAAATGCCTTGACAAGACTTAATCCAAACAACTAAGACTTAAAAGTGTTAGAACTGTTATTTCTTCTTGTAGTCTGCACTGAAATGGAGCAAAGGATCATGGTCTATGTAGTTCTCTCTGTCTTTTTTTTAGATGTTGCTGCATCATAACTCTTAATTTAAGCAAAGAGACTTGTAATTCGATATATTGTGATGGTCCACGATATTATTGTGAGAACTTTGACGATACAATATCACGATATTTTGGATATTGTCACATCCCTAGTCTCAAGTGTCGTTCAATTGTTTCATTTAATGCTCCTTATAATCCGGTGGACCTTATGTATGAAAATAGACGAGAGAATTCAACATTATTGATATTGTGCTTTATAGTCCAAAAAATACGATACCTTTTTTCCATTGTGAGTTAAAATTGTTTGTCTAAATCAAGAGCATTGACTTTAAACCGCCAGCCGCCGTGTTTCAGGAAAAGAGCATGGGGGGTGCTTCTGGCTCCATCAACTCTGGTTCCAATTGGCTCTATTCAGGCTTACGTCACAAACTAGGAAGACGTTTGGAAACATGCGATGACAACTGACTGTGATAAAAACCGCTGAAGTAAATGTGATCAGCGGTAAAATGAAAAATGAAGACGTACGTGCTGTTTGGAATCATCTTGAATTTGGCGCCTCGTCTCTTCTAATTGATGATTGATGAGACAAACAGAATCGGGAGGCACGGAAGCTCATGTAGGTCTGTATGTGCGTGGTGTTTTCTGGTTAAATAGTGACTGTGATGCCAAAATAAGTGAAATAGCCTGAGCGGTGGTGGAGTTAATGATTCATGACCTGTAGACAGACTGGACTGTATAGAAGTCTTTGTGTCTGTAAAGCTCTTCTCATGCAAATGGAACCTTTACCTTTCAACGCCCCACTGGATTTAAAGGTCCTATATTATGCAAAATTGACTCTTGTGAGCTTTATTCCATGTTATAATACTGTTACTTCCTTAAAAACAGACCTGGAGTTGTGTTTTGTTTCATTCACACATGTTTGAGAGTTGTTTTATTTGTCTGTCTACATCTCCAAAGCTCAAAATTCTCTGTTGCTTTATGGTCGTACCTTCAAAGCCTGATTCTGTAAAATCTCAGAAGTTAAACAGGGCCGGGCCTGGTCTGGACTTGGATGGACTGGACTTCGATTTAGATTTTGTGTGTCAAACGATCTCCAAACTCATGTGATCGAGTTGAGTTTAAAGCTTAACAAAGTGTATTTTTTATATAAATAAGTATGTTTATTTTAGAAATGGTAGAACAGCTGGATATAGAGTTTATTTTGGATGCATTTATGTTTTTCTATGCTTTATTTCATTTTCAGAGTATATATTTTTTATTCATTTTATGTTTTATACTTCGCAAAACTGCTCTAAGGTTCATGAAAGTTGAAAGTTTTGCATAAATTATCGATAATAAAGTGTTTTTGTTTTTTTTTGAGAGAGAGAAATGCTGAATAAATGCATCATGTAACTAAAAAAATATTGTTTGAATAATCGTGATTTCAATATTCACCAAAATAATCGTGATAATGATTTTTTCCATAATCGAGCAGCTCTACTTCATCCACATTGCCAAGTATGAAAATGGTGTGTGTTTGAGTGATGCTTGTGGTCTTTGTGACATACTATATGCTTGTGAAAAGCGCCATAGAAATAAAAATTTACTTCCTCTGTTCCACCTTGTGATGTCATGAAATGGTAGTTTTAAGTGAACAGATGCCTTTCACTTTTTGTTCAGTACAGATTTGGAATTACAGAGCTGAAATTATCCAAATGAGCTACACGATGGAGAAGGTTTCATTTTTATTGAAAGTGCAGCTGGACTTATTTTACAAGATGTGGTCTAAATGGACAGAGTATGTAAAGCCGGTGAGATCAGACTTGATATAAAACTACTTCATATTTGCAATGTTCTGTTAATTTGTGAAAGAGGTTCCCTGGCTCCCCAACCTCTTCTGAGTTTATATATGCTTAAAAAAATGTAAATGTACCCACTGCAAGGTATAATCTGCTTTTTCAAGTAAATCAATAAAAAAAAAAAAAAAATCCAAATGATTCTAGTGCAGTGTTTCCTAAAGACTGGATTGTGACCTTCAGGTAGGTCGTAAGAGATTTTTTTGGGGATTGACTTGTCACGATCTGTGAGCAAACATCTCTGCTCACCCACCCCCACACTCCTCACTTCTTCTCCGTACACGGAAGCTCTGCGCCCCCCCCCACACTCGTCACTTCTTCTCTGCGCACCTTGCCCGCTCCTCACTTTTTTCTGCATACCTTGCCCGTTCCTCACCTCTTCTCTGCCTGCTCCTCACTTTTTTTCCACGCACCCTGCCCGCTCCTCGCTTCTTCTCCGTACACAGAATCTCTGCGCTCCCCCCCTGCTCCTCACTTTTTCGGCAGCACAGTCTTGCCTAACCAAACTGATTTCTGTTTTTCATTGTTTACAACTTGAGTAATACTAATTGTTCAGAGAGACACAATCACTCATCAATAAACAACAATAAAATAACCTCATTAATGTTCAATAAGGCTCACAAACTTATTTCGTGATTCACAAATAATGTCTATTGACTCCTGGGTCGTGAAGCTTTGTCACTTTTAAAAATACAGGTCCCCAGAATAAAAGTTTAGGAAACACTGCTCTAGTGAAGGTGCGTGGAGTTTAAAAACAGTGGAGCACTTTGCGTATTACCACATCACAAGGTGGAACAAAGTGTTTTCTGTTTGAGAGAAGAAGAACTCAGAGTGCAGGGTTTGTGTATTAAACATGTGAATGAAACAAAACACAACTCCATGTCTGTTTGTGACGAGGAAATGGATCAGAAAACAGCGTAATATGAGCCAATTAAAGTTACTGAATGATTTTAAGACTTTGACCAGACACAGTATGTTCTTGATACAGTATGTACCGGGACTTGACCTATTTATAGTTCATTGGTAACTGAGGAGAGGGAAATATTAGATAACCAATAATGATGAGATAAGTGTGAGTTACCTTTCCAAAGGTCCCTTTTCCGATGACGGTCAGGAAGTCAAAGTCAGTGGGTCGTGCACTGAAACAGTAAGAGACACTTTTAACAAATATGTTTATCCAAAATGAAAGTTAAGACAAGTTAAGAGATCTGTGCACTAAATGTTCACTATATCTACCTATAACTTCTTGGGTTCTTTTTAAAGACAATACAGTAAAAAAAGAACCCAAGAAGTTAAACTACATAAGAAGACAAAATGAACGTCTTTGGCTTAAGAAACTGTCTAACTTTATTTTTAGAGCAACAAGTTCAGCCAAAGTTCTCAACACAGAAATGAGGACCAAGACCATGTAAATATTCTTCATGTACAAGTCATCAGTCAGCGTATTTCACTTCTATCTCGTCAAAAATGTACTTTGAAAATATAAAATCAATAGAAAGAGTTTTAGTTTTATCCTGCCAAACTGATCTGTGTCACTCTGGATTGTGTTTTACACTTTATCAGTCTGGAACAACTCACTGAAAGATCTGAATCTGAATGAAAGTTATAATTGTTTTGTTTAAATTTCAGGACTATAAGCCGCTACTTTTTTCTCACACTTTGAACCCTGCATCTTATACAACGATGCAGCAAATATATGGATGGATTATTTGTTTGTTACATTGTCCGTCTATGATTTGGCGACACAGCGGATACGTGCAGCCTGAGTGCAGAAAACGCCAGTGTCTGTGTGGTTACACATGGATCTAGGATTCACATGAAGTTGCAGCGTTTGCTAGTGATGTTATCAGCGCACTAAAATAGTTTATCGCCATGTAATAAACAAAGTTATGATGCTAAATAAACATTAGTTAGTGGGATATGTCTTAATGACCTGTATGTGTTAAATACAGGTGAGTGCATAAATGACGAAAAGAAACGTCTCAAACTTCAGTAGCCGTACTTCCACTCATACTTGATTGATAGAACTAACCCCTGCTCCCGAGAAAGTCTGAAATCCTCCAAGACACTGACATGATACAAACAGGACAGAGACTCTTTCTGCAAGAGACATGCTCAGTAGAGCGCAGGGAGATACAGTAGTGATGCGCAGAGGAAGATGTTTGATATTGTTTATTGTTTAAGATGATGTTTAAGTTATTTTGCTCTTCATACACACACCGTCCTTGTTTTAGTTAAATATGACATTGATAATAGATTTAACATACAAAATGACTAAAAATAAGAAGAATATATCAGAATTGAATTCCTTGTATCAAACAAAGTACAAAAATTACATTATACAACAATTTTAGACTAAAGGAAGGGAAGACGTAATTTTAGACTAAAGGAAGGGAAGACGCTTTTCTCTTTTCGCCGGGGACATACCGGCCACTAGGGGGCGCACCCCAACTTGTATCCATGGATTTTTAAAAACCTAAGGTCCATACCTAACACCCTGCCAAAAATCTAAAATTTTTCCAGAAGTGCACAATTTTCATGAATTCCCCCCTGGGTATTATGGAAAATACACAAAGAAATGCAGATGATGCAGCTTTTAAGTTCAAGGCAAATGGAAGAAGCTTTCAGAGGCAATAAAAGCAGACGGCCTGAACTTGAAAACGTTCTTCAAGATGTGGACACCTGCGGCTTATATTCAGGTGTGTCCTATATATGTACAATTTTAAAAATTTGTTGATGTGGCTTATATTTAGGTGCGCTCAATAGTCCGGAAATTACAGTAATTAACTAATAATTCCTGACTTATCAAGTACTTCTATGTATATTTGACCTATTTACAGTGAGTGACTCAAGCAGTGATAAGACGGGGGCTTGTACAGTGAACACATCAGGCAGCTGGTCAAATATTACAGTGAAAACACGCAGAGCGGAGCTGGGTACTGACTGTGGGTTGGCTGAAGGGCCCAGGTTGACCTCATCGTGTTCGGAGGAAGGGGAGGACCGCATCTGAACAACAACAACAGCATAAATAAAAAAACTCTATGATTTTTATTGTAAATAATCAATAACTTAGCCAATGAAAAAAAAAGGCTTGACTTACATTAGAGTGAGCCATAGCTACGTCAAGTGGAGTTCAGACATCAGCATTTCACAGACCTAAGAGAGGACAGAGCGGAAAAGGACAACAAAAGTTAATCAATGATTTCAAATAAGTAGAGCGAATTACCTCATTGTGTCTCTTGGCAGCCAATCAAGTCAAGTTATTCAAATTCAGACTTTGCTGGGGGTGTCCTACATATATCTCTATGATGTTACCACAGTGACACAATGCACACATAAAAAATACAAAATGGATTTAAACAGCACATTGTCAGGATGTGTTAAAATAAAGCTCAGATTAAATTCCAAGGGTCCTCTGCTCTGCTCCACTGCACTGTCCACGGCTCTGGTGAACTCTCATCAGGTCACAGCCCGAACCAGCACCCGAACCGCTCCTCTTCATTCACGTCAGACCCCTCAGTCTTTCCATTCAAGAGTCCATATTACACTGATTTATGTTATTTCCACTTAAAATCGTGTTTAACCCTTCCAGACGTAAAAGCAATTTTAGTACATTTGTCCTTTTTCTTCTTTTACCCCTAATGAAGTGTTATACATTCTTTTTTTGAGTACAACCTGTTGTTTCACAATCTGCAGCTATAGTTGTGTCATACCACTGAAATAAAAGCTACAGGACCAGAAATACAAAAGGAAAAAAATGAAAAAAACGGAAATTAAAATTCACACTCTTTCATACAAAACATACAGCAAACATGTATTAACAACTTTTTCAGACATAAAAAAATGCTTAATTTAGGGCCTTAGCTACAAAAGTGCAAAATATCAAGTCTCTAAATAAACTAAAAATATCCTTATTGCCTCAAAACAAAACAAAAAAGTGCAGTGGCCCCATGACTTTCCTGGTACCAGTCGTGGAAACAGCTCGTCACATCACTTCTTGCATTTCCATGGGGTTTATTACATTTGGATTTGGACATTTGGACTGAAATAAACCTTTCAAATTAAAACAGCAAGGGATGCACAATTATACAGACCAAGATCCGTAAATTGCCATTTATTTGAGAAATAACTGCACTTAGAGCGGCTTTTTCAATTGTTACAAATACAGACGCTCAGAGCAATGGTACATCTTGACTCACTACACTCTTTGGCAAAGTTTGATCGGATCAAAATGGATGGTGCGCATGAGTTTGGCGGAAAACAAAATTCCTATTGGACACTCATTTTCCCAAGGAAAGAAATTAAGGATTTGTGTCTGACATGGGAGTCGCGTGATTGAATGTTTTGGTGGTCATACTGGAGGTCAAGACTGGGATTATTCACTTTATTTCAATATAATCACCAGCTCGTTAGATCAGCTGTCATTAGAATGATATAAAGCTAAAGTCGTCCTCCTGGGTTGTGGAATAGACGCCGATCTAATTCCGATGGAGCTTTGTCAGTCTAATCAACGCTCGCTCTGTGCACAACCTTTAGTATCCAGATATTTATAACTACTTCGTTCATTTGACATCATCCTCACCAATCAAGAACTGAAAAGCTACACGGGGTTAGAGGATTATAAATATTTTGTAGCAGGATGTGTGAAATCTTTGTTGATCACCAAACATCACATCTGTTCCTGATAATAGCCAGGGGAAGTAGAATGGGGGTCAAAATCAGAGCCGGAGCGACCCGCGACAGTGGAAATAGAGGCCGAGGTGGGGGGGGATTCCGTGCTGGTACAACGGAGAGAAAAAATTTGTTTTGGTCAATATCATTTAATTTGCTGTAAATCCCTTCTTAATTTGTGTGGAGCTTGTCCCTCACCAGAAATGAATGTTGATTGCACAGATGACTCAGTCCTTTGTTTTTATGTCGCTCTCCACCTCTGTCTGTGATCTTTATCAGCCAGGATCTGACAGAAAGATACTTTGGCCTCCTTCTTTAGCAGATTGACTCCGGCCAAAACATCCAATAGCAACGCAGGTCAAAACCACTGTTATTCAATTCAAATTTTATCGCACACAAATACTACACTTGGTCCAGATGGATAGTTTGACCTCCAATATGGCGGCATCAACACCAGGTCACGTGGTTTTGTGACGTAGGCGCAAAACCTTAAAAACTGTCAGCAATTCAAGTGAAAAAAGTAAGTTTCTATCTTTTATAGTTGGAAAGTTATGCATGGTTATGTCAAACAATCCGTCAGTCTGGAAGGGTTAACACACAAACCCTGCATATTTGTTCAAACAGAAAACACTGTGCTCTTGTGAAGTTATGTGGTAATACAGGAAGTGCTCCACTGTGTTTTTAAACTCCATACACCTTCACTAGAATCACTGGGATAATTTCTGTCCTGGAACTGACCGTCTCTACTGAACTGAAGGTAAAAGGAGCTGTTCATTTTTGACCAATAACAAACGGTTGCTTCAATGTGCAAATGAAACAAAAACAAAACTCAGAGTCTGTTTTTGAGGAGGTAAAAGCGTCTACCATGGCTTAATGCTCACAGGAGTCAGTATTGTGTAATGTAGGACCTTTAAGCTCATCACTCATCAGCAGGAGTGTACCGGTGCATGTGTTGGTGCCAAACGTTTCGGTACAGGACGTTTGGTTCGGTGCGGGGCTGTGCACGAGTGAGTTTGAGCAAGTTGTGTGTGTTTGTGTGCAAAACTTCATGCTGAAACTGTCAGTGCTGCGCTTTACTTTTTGAAAAGGTTTGTTTACTGTTTACAAGGAATTTATTTTTTAAATTTCATACATTTGTTGCTTATTGGAGAATATTTTATGTAACTTATCAAAATTACCAAGCAGCACTTTGCATTTGGTTTTGCATCTTGTTCCCAAACTGTACCGAAAATAAACCGAACCATGACTTTAAAACCGAGGTACGTACTGGACCATGATTTTTGTGTACTAGCGGTGTGCAAAAATATTGAAATATCTGTATATCGTATCGTTTAATGTGATGATACAGTATCGATATTGTGGGCTGCTGTATCAATACATTGCCAAGAGTATTTTGGTATATTTTACTTAATTTGTTACAGAGCTACAGTTTTGTTGCTTGTTTAGTGGAAAGAAACTTGTTTATGTGACACATTTGATATTTTCACAGTTTTGATGATTAAAATGTTTGTGTTTCATATTAAAGTTATACAAAAGTGATGATTTAGCTGTTATTTTTCATTGAACCGTATCGGATCAATCTGAAATATATCGAATCGTAAACTCACTGTATCGAGGTATGTATCGTATTGGCAACTTCTTAATGATACCCAGCCCTACGTACGACTAAGCAGTAAAGTTTATCTACTAGATCATTATTAGTTGGCTCACACATTGTTCTGGATTGGACATTTTTAAACAATTTGTGACAGATGAAAGCCTGATTTCCAAGTAAAACACATAAAACAGAAAGTGTACTGTATTTTCCGCACTATAAAAAGTCTTAAAAGTCTTTAATTTCATCAAAAAGCGACTGTGTGCCTTATAATCCAGAGCGCCTTATATATGAATTTAATGGAGTGTCTTAGTACAACTTTAGTAAACTACAAAGCCGCTCTACTTGCAGCATTACGGCTCCTGTAGTCAGGAGCATCACGAGTAATACATAGTGTGATTCCTTTTAATTTCAAAATGCACCTGTCAAGAGACACGCTTACAATGCCCACTTTAAATTCAAGGCTATTATAAAAATAAAGTGCAAGCTGCGTGGGAGCAGTGGATGAGAGAAGGACACATTCACCAAGACAGAGAGACAGCGCCGAGCGACTTAACCACACTGACTCAGATAATGACGAGAGGGATGTGGGCGTGCTGGACGCCGTAATCACCCAATTGTTTGAACTTGTTTGAGTTATTGTGAATACGAGAACAATTTAGCGTCTCAGACAGTATTTTTTTTTACGCGTTACAATTGAACAAAGTTGAGAGTTATTGTGAACGTGTTAAATAATGTTTGACTGACTTATTTAACTCTTGTGTTTCGTTTAAAGCGCCTTATAGTCTGGTGCAGTTTATATGTGAAAAAAGTTCAAAAATAGACCATTCAATGACAGTGCGCCTTATAATCCAGAGCCCCTATAGTGCGGAAAATACGGTAACATTAATACAAAAAAATACTGCATTGTATAGGGCTGGGTATCTGTTAGTTGTTAAGAATATACGCAAAGGGATGTGCAAAGGGGCGCTAGTACATAACAATATCATTCAAATACATTTCTGATACAATACATACTTCGATACATAGGCCATGATATGATACACATCTCAATACAGTGCACTTTCAATTCAATACGATATATTTCAAATTGATTTGATACGGTTCAATAAAAATAAAGGCTAAATCATGCCAGCGATGCTAAAAGTGTTTGTTAAAACAGTTCTTGTACAAAGTTCATATGAAACACAAACATTTTAATCCCCAAAACAATGAAAATGTCAAATGTGTTGCATAAACGAGTTTCTTTCTACTAAACAAGCAACAAAACTGTAGCGCTGCAACAAAATAATTTAGTAAAGTACACCAAAAAATACTCTTGGTAATATATCGGTACAGCAGCCCACAATATCAATACTGTATCATCACTTTAAACGATACGATATATTGATATTTCAATATTTTTGCACACCCCTAGTATTGTAAATGCTGTAAAAATTTAATAAAATCATCAATAAATTAATAAGATGGCAAAAGCTGCAATTATTACAATTATTACATGATTAGAGACACAACAACACAAGATTCTATAGGTCAATAATATTTAATACAGATCGTAGGAGGAAAAAACTATTGTTAAAGTCCAGATTCCTGTTGCAGTATAGTGAGTTCTTGGGTCTATTCATTAATACAAATGATCAGTTTCAACATTTGTGAATTTTTCATAGGAAAGTACAAAGTTTTCAAAAGGAAAAACTCTTGCCTCTTGAGAGTCTGACACAAGATTTTGAAACTTATATCAGGTTATTCATCTTGTTATCTGGTCCTTGAAGGGTTGATCAGGTTTTTATTCACCCTGTGTGTTTGTGTTTGTCTGTGGTCTGTTCACCCGCGATAATTCCACCATTTATGGACCGATTGTCACCAAATTTGGTACATAGGTCAAGCCCCC